CCAGCGACGACAGCGAAGTGTTAGAGTCGACACAATCGTCATCTGCGTCAAAAGCTACGGGTAAGGAATACGTGAAATGGAACTGAAGCTAGAGAGTTTGTTGCTAATGCTGTTTACGTTTATTAATGCTTTAGATCCTTCTTATGTTCCACTTGCAGCTGTTCCGAGTATTGTCGGAAGGACTTTTGCGTCGTGGCCGGATTTCTTTTCGTTTTGGGAGCAGTTTAAAAGGCAACATCTTGTTTTCTATCGCACGAGAGACTGCCAGACTACGAAAGGGTACAATAAGTCAAAGATAAATCACCCAGAGCGCCAGGTTCCTGAATCATTTGGCTACGCGTTTCGCAAATACGTTTGCACTCTCGGCTGCAAGCAGAAATCTTGGTCGACTGGAAAACGGGCTAAGCGGAAGGAACGATATCGCGCATGCAAAGCAATGGTTCGCGTCGCTGTTATTCGTGCTAGTAGTGGTGACTTTTCAAGTAGTTCTAACTGGACCATTACAGTAACAAGTGAGGTTGGTTTAATCATTTCTTTTGTTTTTTTGTCCAGTATATCACTATTCCGTATGTACATGTCAAACTAATATGAATCCTCGTTATTGTGTATTTGTAGAACACGTGCCACAACCATGTCAACACCGAGACGCATTATACTGCTTTGAAGCAGTGCAAGGACCTGTTGAGCGAGTCAGTGTTGTCTAAGCTGGACGCATTCGGGCAGACCAACACGGACACTAAGCAAATAGCCAGCTATGTTGCTAACCCGACTGGTACGTCCTATTATCTTGCTTACAGTTGTTGGTAGCCATTCGTAACGTGTACCGCTGCTGGAATACGACACAGGTCTTCCAATCTCTACGCAACAAGTGCGTAACCTCATGAATGCTCGTCTCGGGCACAGCAGTGCGGAGAAGCGCTTAAACGGTGTGCTGTCTGAATTTGCTTCCACAGAGGGAAATGAATGCGTGCTGCTGCAAGGCGAATACGATCAGACTATCGGAATTGTGATGCAGACGAAAGCGCAGCGTGATATCTTTGCTCGCTGGGGCGATACGCTGTCGCTGGACTGGACGCACAATTGTACAAATCTCGGCTTCTACGTCGGTACGTGCTGATGTTGCACAACTTCTACCGAAGGTGCGCAACTTGGTGCAGGTTTTTTGTAGCTTACGAGATACTTGTTTGGTGCTGTTCCGGTACTCTTAATACCACCGTAGCAACAGGACGCGGCGTATCTGTGCTAGATTACCTGTGTCTGAATCAACAAAAGGAGTCTCCGTTAGCTGTGCTTCAGTGGTTCAAGACGAAGAACCCATCGTGGGGTCGATTGGGAAGTCTCATCATTGACAAAGACTTCACAGAGTGGTCTACGCTACGCGAGATGTTTCCGCAGGCGGCGGTGAGTTTCTTTAGAGCTGTTGTTTTGTATAGAAATAATAATAACAACAGTGCTACTAGATTTTGCTTTGCAAATTTCATGCACAGCGTTATGTGAAGAGAATGATTGCCGGCAAGAAGTACTTTGTGCTGCCCAAGTATCGCGATGAAATCGAAGAGCTGTTTAAACAAATGGTTTACGTCCCGACGAAGGAACAGTTCCAGAGCAGGTTGAAGCTGTTCGAACAGAGAACAAAGAAGGCTGCGCCAGGGTTTGCTGAGTACTTTGCACGAAACTGGTCAGCCTGTCGCAGTATGTGGGCGAACTATGGGCGTCGACGATGCTTCTCGGCGGGTAGCACTACTACAAACCGGGTGGAGGCTGGGTGGAACCAGTTAAAGCAGCTGCTGGGGAAAAAAACTAGCATCGACCGATGTGTTCGAGTGATAATTCAACACCAACTCAGTGTTTTGCGTGATTTTTCGACGGCGATAAATCTGTTTGATGTGTGCCCTCCTGTGACGGACCCGCTACCGGCTGCGTTGAACCGCATCGCTACAGTTCTGAGCCCGTACACGCTGAGGAAGGTGCAACAGCAATGGGAGAGCTACAAGCTGAATGGTGCGAATTGGGACTGGAGTTGTGAGCAGGACGGAGGTCAGGACGTCTTCACGGCTACTTCGGAAGGCAGCTGTGTTCGAGTGACATGGCGGACTTCTGGTCAACCCAGTTGCGATTGTATTTTCTTCTCGTCGTTACGGCTTCCTTGCAAGTACCTGTGCAGTGTCTTAACGACCTTCAGAAGCGACAATGTTTTTGAAGTTGCCCAACTTCACGCGTGTTGGTCGATGAAGGAAGCATCGGCAACATTGCCATTTGTAGAGTCGACAATGGGGCATTTACGAAAGGTTACAAGAATTACAGGAAATGCATCACACACGCCTGCGTCGAGTATCATGCTTGCCTCGAAGAAACGGGTTGCTTTTGTGAAGCTGAAGAAGGGTGAGACCAGTGACGAGACCGTACTCTCTGACTGCGAGAAGTACAACGTGGTTAGAGCGGAAGTTATGCCGTTAGTTGACAGTCTTCAGAGCCTCCCGTCTGCTAAGTTCTACGAAACATTTGCCGATCTTCGCGCAACAATAAGAAGCTTCAAGAAGAAGTGGAGCTTGGACCGAGACTCTCTCTCAGATGCGGGTGAATCGGACGACGAGTCCGATGCGATGGGCCAGGAATACGAGATGGCATGTGAAGGCGTTGGTATCATGAATAACGCGCAACTTCCCGCTCGTACTTTGGATGAAGCCGATATTCATGAGCCTCCGGAGGACAACACGAGCTCTCCCGTGATACAGGGACTCGATGGAGACGATCTCCCGTCGTGTTGCTTAACAAATCCATCCCAGACATCCCTGCCGGACCTGACTATCAGCGAGCAATCACAAGAGGTGTTGCAACAGCAGCCAAATGTTCATTCAGCAACGTCTACAGCATCTCTATTGGCGCAGCCGGGGTTTCTTTTGAAACGAGCGGGTGCTATAGACAACGTGCAAGTTCTGCGATTACCTGAAGCATCCAGTTCACGGTCGAGAAACACTAAAAAGGGCAGCAAGTGGGCAATCGCCGAGTGTCGAACCGATTGTCCTGTTGAACTTGAAGACTTCATGAAGTGGATTGACACGACGCCTGACGTTGATTACGTCGGAAAAATAGCGTCAAATTACCCGGTTTGTTACAACAAGGGTTTCCTGCTCTCAAGATCTTCAACGGTTCTTCAAAAGAGGGCAAGTGAAGTCATTAATGATGCCAATTTCGTCATTCCAGTGAAGTTGTTGGAGCGTGTGAATAGTGCATTACTTCACTGGACTTCAAAGCAGACCGAAACAGAAGATTTAAATCCTTCGCAAGACGATGTGGTTCCAGCGGCATTTGTGGCTTCTGAAATTGGCGGCTTCTCCATGTAAGTTTTGATAGTATGTTTATCTACTTGACGGCTCTGACCTGTGTCTATGGTTATTGTAGGAATTACGTACGACTTGTGAAAAACTATTACGCGTCCATGAAGGCTGTTGATGATTATCGAATGGATCTAGCATGGTTGCGTGGAGGGTGGAGTAGTATGACACCGATGAAGCATCAATATTTGGAGGAGGCACCGGCGTCACCTGCAGTGTTGTCACGTGAAGTTGCGCAACTGTTTCGCCAGTCGCCATTGTCTCGGACGTTTGTCATACCTTCAGGGCCTGCAGGACGCAGTGTTACTTCAACACTTCGCCATATAGTGGGCAAGTTAGCGAGAAGCAAGCGTCTTAATGACGCCGTGATGGATGCAGCGCTCTGGCATGTGTCAACGTACTGCAAAACCTGCTACGCTATCGACGCTATCTCCGTTACTAACGAGAAGAGATTCGTTCCAGATTTCTCTTTGGCGTCATGCAACTACGTGCTGGTGCCTATTCACATGGCTGCCTTGAAGCACTGGATTATTCAAATTGTGGAGATTCAGATGGCCGATCCGGATACGTCCAAGCACAAGATATGGGTAACTTTCTACGATCCATTAGGCGTGGCGTCTAACTTAGATGTGTGTCAAGCAAAGTGGATATCATTCACGCTTCCACTACTTCAACAATGGTTTGATCGAGATCAAGACAGAGAGAAGTTGCGCAAGTGGGTGTCTAATCTGGTGACAACAAAACGCCAGATTAACTCGGGAGACAGCAAAGCAGTCACAACAACTGGGCCAAATGATGATGGTGCAGCGCCCATGACCTCTCCGTGCTCGTTACCTGAAATTGTTGCAGTTCCGGTTACGACCCCCAAGCAAGTAGACAGTGTAAGTTGTGGTATTATGTGCATTGCGCAGACCTATAGCTACGTGACTCGCGTGCGATCGCTGAAGGCATGTAACTCGATTTCAGACAGTGATTTGGCTCAAATGAGACTGCGCCTACTGTGGACAATGCTGCATAAGTCAACTGGCGATGCAACTAGAGATAGTGAGGGCTGGGCGCAGCTATTAGACATTCGGAAGAAGGTGAAGACAGCGTTCAAGAGCTGCTGAGTACATAATTCATGTATAAATGAATTAAACTATGTCTTCTTTTTACGAATATTAATACTGTAGAGAATAAAACATTCACGTTGTGACGGAGCTCCTTTCCTTCTGTTGCTGTCGTCACCGCATCTCTCATATTATCGCCTACAGCTGCCGCAATATCTCCATGAAGCTCCACCAGCGCCACGAGAAGATCCTCCATCTTGTTCAGCTTGAGCTGAAGCTCCTCAAGCTCTGAAATCCGGCTCCATAGAAGCATTGAAGAAGCTTCCTGCGGTTGCAAGCATTCGCTGCATACGTTTTCAGTGTGCATGGTCTGCGCGGCGTGTCCTCCGGCACCTCGCTCGATGCTCTTGCTCCGTCGCGTTATTGACTTTGTGTATCTGCGTCGTTTCGCCAACTGAACCGGCAATGACTCCGAGCTTAACCGTGCGAACCGGTTCATGTGGAGGCTGGATCGCATGATATATTACGTGAGTGGTGGTTATATATTATTCGATTTGAGGGGAAAGGTGCCGAAGCAGAAATAGCAAGGTGCTGATCTCGTAATTTATCGATCCGATTAGACAGGAAAGGTGCTGAAGGTGCCGTTACAAAGATGCATTAACGAGAGCGCTAGGAGGATAAGTGCGATTGACCTGTTGAGGTCCTCGCGGAATGCCTCTGTCATGCGCGACTTGCGACCACTCTTTACCTTTCTCCCGCTGTCGTAGTTGATGGGTCTGCCTCCTTCGATGTCTTGAACGGCTCGGCGCCACAAACACGAGATCTGGTCGTCGCTACAGCCATACTTGGCCGCACAAGCTTGAATCGAGCCTTTCGGAGGCTGTAGCGCGATACTGACGCTTAGTAGGTATGCAACGACGGCAGCACGATCCGTTGGAGTTAGTTTTTTGCGAGTCCGAGGTGTTGCCGAGGGGATTGCGCTCATTTTGGTAGACTGGCGAGTGATTTAAGTGAAATCCAGACTAGTGGAAGTCTTTGAGGGGCTGTACCGTTTGATCCGGTGGTCGGATGGTCGCGGTAAGACCACGTGTCGAATCGCAAAGGGCCCCTCTTTTATTTTAGCCGATCAACCCGAATAAAATAGGCATTTTGAGCTTAAGTTTAAATGATGTGTCGAAACCCGCTTATATTTTCGGACGGAGGAAGTATGTTGTAAGCTGAGTGTATTTATAGGTAGGCTAAGCTTGAGCTAAATAAGCAAACTATGAGTCTCCTTTAGTAAAGCATGTCATCAGTCAATGATTGGCCTCTGACGACCCTTGTACCATGTACGTAGTGCGGCTTGTAAAAAACCATGTAACCAGGGTACACATGGGGATACGTACCCCGTTACATCCTCCCCCACTTAGGCTCGGTTTACCGACCAATCAGAATGAGGAAGTGTACGTCACAAACTTTCATTCTCAAAGTCAATTACATCGACTTGGCTGCGCGAACGCGGCGGAGCTCACGTTACAGTTAGAGCCTCGAGCAGCACTTGAGGTCTCGGTCTTCACTTCGCCCTTTAGCATGCCGTAGCACTGCGAAGAGCAGTGTGATAGCGCACTCCAAGGCTACCGGAAAGGCGCAAGCCAAGAGCACTAAGCCTCGCGGCAAAGGCTGTGCACTCCAGGAGGCTACTAAGATGGCCTCGGAGGCGATCGATTCATCTGGTGACGCGGCTGTTGGCAACCGTGCAAGCAAGCGCCGTAGTTCGTCACCTTCGATCTCTCCAGACAACTGTTCGAACCCGCGGTTCGCTGAAGTTTGAGTTCAATTCGGGCAGTGAGGACGAGGCCGAGCCCGGGAGCACTCACGATGCTCTTGTGGGCTCCGTGGGAGGGCACACTCCAGTGCCCAGCGAGACCGACGACGACAGCGTGCACCCGCTCGCTAGTGGTCATAATGATCACAGTCCCATGACGCCAATGCGCTCTAAGCGTCCTGTCGTCAAGGCTAAGAGCTCGCTCCGATCTGGCCGAGGAAGATAAACCTCTCAGAAATCTCTCGCTCGCCTAGGGCCTTGCGCGTGCTAAAGCGGCCAAGACAACAGCCGAAGACGTCAAGCACTCTAAGAAGCGCACGGCTTCGAAGTTTCCACTCCGCGAGGAGAAGAAGCCTGGGTACTCTTATCGTAACCGCTTCGGCATCTCGGATAAAGAGGACCACGAGGAAGAGGAGAGTTGTGGTGTAGGGATTTCCAGATTCGGTCATACGTCAACCTACTTTAGACCAAGAATCGGCCGGGTGTGATAACCCAGCGTTTAGGAACAAAGGATCACGGTAAGTACTCAGCGATCTGTCCGGATGATGTTATGCGGATGTCAACGGTCGCCAGAACCTAGCGGAAATGTCGGTAGATATCCGAAACGACTACATTTCACTAGATATTTGTATGAGAAGCATAGGGGTAAATAGGGGGAGCCGAAAAGGCTCCCGGAAGATAACAGACCAGAATTTTCCAGTCCAACACACGTGTACACCCTTCCGGTAAGTCCCTGCATAAGGCTGGATTATGCCTGCCGTTGATACTCGAGAGGCATAGCTTGTGGGGTATTGACTGGTGGCGCCAACAGATTAGGTCGGTCCGGGTAGGACAAAGTCTCGCTACGCGCGAAAGAAAGCCTCGCAAACTCAGCGGGTCGGTACGTCGGATAGCCCGGGTGCCGTAACACTTCTAGCTGAGCAGCCTCTGCGCTCGGTGACCTGTAAAAGCGCTCTCGCGCCGTCGTTCATCCTTTGGTGGAGGGCACCGGGTTTGTAAACGAGCTCCGCCGAGACAAACTCGGCGGAGCCTCGGAAGTGCTCTGACTTAGTTAGTCGGAACTAAGTGGAAGCGAGCGTCTCGTCTGTCCCGGCTGGGCCGATCCGCAAGGGGACCACTCTCTGCGCAGGCCATATAAGCGCCGACCTAACTCGGCGATTTGTTGTGGTTTGTGTAAGGAATCCACATCTGACGGTGTTTGTGTGTTCTACTACACCACAACTGGTGCCTCGACCCGGGAACAGGAGTGTGTGCTTGTTTTTATAGGTGCCAGCTAACCAAGTTAAGAGGAAGAGGAGAGAAAGAGAAGATCAAGGGATCAGCAACTCCGAGCGACGGAAGCCCAGCGACGGCTGGAGGATTGTCTCTCGCGGGGTCGGTCCCGGCGGATCAATGACTCATCGCCATGACGATGGAGGTGGGATGAACCGTCCAGTTTGACGAGGATGACCAAGACCAGGAGAGCGAGAGCGGAGATGCAAGTGAAGGAGGGTATGAAGATAAGGCCAAAACCGCTGAGCTCGGAGAAACGAAGACTACCGCCGAGCTACGTGGCGAGGTGGAAGCGTTTACGCTGCAGGTGGGGCGCATGGGAGCCCCACGTCCTGTCGAGCGCAATTTATCCGCCGAGCTCAAAGAAGGTGCGGACGATGAAGAAGATGAAGAAGAACATGGCGTCCGCCCCGTATTCCAAAAGCGACAAGGAACGCCGATACGCCGATCGCCAATAAAGTGTTGGCTCGACTTGGCGAAAAGATGAGAACGAGATCGGAGTGGATGATGATGTTGGCGCCTGTGGGGATGGCGCAGGCGAAGTGGCCGATGTTGGGTCCCGAGTTAGCTGAACCGGTGCGTGCAGCCAACATCAATCAGTTGGTGGGTGAAACTATGTTGCTACTAAAGGCGATGGACTATCGGTGCAACAGCCGACCAAACAGCCTCATCCTGTCCGACTGGAGTCTAACTTGTGCTGGAGCTGAGCTCTGGCAATGGAAGAAGAAATTGCGAGTAGCGTTTGGATTGGAGAAGGTCCCTGGTGGAACGAAGCCGTTTTACAGCCGAGTTGCCGAGCTCACGGGACTCGGCGACGGACTTCGGCAAAACAATTTTGCTTTGCCGAAGACCCCGGAGACGAAGAGACGTGAAGTGTTCCGCGCTACGCAAGGGACTCCGTACTTCGAGGACCCCCACATGCTGACTCCGGTGAAGATCAACCTGACTCAGCGGACGCCGAGTCGTGGACAGCGGAATGCAGGTCGCTACCGTGAGCAGTACGACGCTGCATGAAGCTCACGTGGAGGGTGAAGAGGATGATGACGCGTTCTAATTGAAAGAATACCGCGAAGAGACTGTGAAGGACTACATTCGACATCTGATCTTCGACGCGGCAGAAGAAGACTCAACTCAGTACCTGGAGGTTCAGACCCACGCTTCACTCGACAAAATTGCCGAGTTTGAAGACAAGCGCTACCGCTCTGACGCATCGCTTCAGTGGCTCAAACGTTTTATCTACGAGACGAAGAGCACAAGGATGCCTCAAAGCGCCTGGTGCGAGCCATTCTCGCTATGCTTAGGACGCGCGGCGAAGGGTTGGTATCGGCAACTTCCGAAGAAGACTCAGTGACGCTGGAAACTACTCAGCGAAGCATTCCTGGACTACTATTGCTCACAGTTCGACCAGGTCGCCCGCACTCGCTACTACTCGGCGAGACACAAAGACAACGAGTCAATCTGTGACTTTTTGATCCGACTCAATGAATATGCCTGGACAGCCAAGATCCAGTACGAGAAAGGTGGCGTCGACGCGGCTGACCATGTCGAACACTTCTTGTTGCATTGTGGAGATGACGACGTGATGAATTTGATGTAGCCCTTGCAGTTGGATGATATTGGTAAGGTGGAGTAGATTATCAATCGTCGGATCCTCGGTGAGAAGCGCAAGAAGCAGCGCGATCGACTTGTGTCTATGCAAGGCCGAGATAATAGGCGGATAGTGCCAAGCCAATGTGTCGAGCCTCGCCGGGAGAAACGCCGAGATGGACGTCGAGATAAGAAACGTAGTCGCAAAGAAGGCAGCCGCGACCGCCAAGTCACCTTCGTTGACGCAGACTTCGACGGGGAAGACCTACTCGATCAGCACCCACCTTGTCCATACAACTGCAAAGACGAATGGGATGCTCAGAGCCAGTCCGGGGGCTACGACTCAGCGGAAGGCGACGACTACATAGACACCGGCGTTGCCAATGACAACACCGGTGTCTATGTAGTAGTTGGCTATTGTGTGCAAGATGGACTCTCGCAAGAGACGAAAAACCGGTGACCTCCTTTCTCAAATAACTTGATTGATGCTTAACGACTAAGGCCAACAAGGGAAATACCACGGACCACCGGGAAAACTCGGCGGGAGACCAGAATGGCTCGAATCGAAGTTAGGGGAACTCGGCGAGTCTACATCCACGACCATACAACCAACGAGAACAGTCGAACCGTGGGTGGATTACATGACAACTCACAGCGTGGACCTTGTGCAGCCCGGAAGACCGGGGCACTCAGCACACGTCTGTCGGCGACGCTGCAAATTCTGCAAACAAGTCTATGAAGTCGGCCAGTGCGAGCTGTTTCGTCGATACGAGAAGCTGGCTGCGTTCGTGAAGAACTCTGTCGACAAGTCTCAAGTGCCAGAAGTCCTGCAAAACCTTTACACCCCGAGTGATTTGATTTCGGCGGCCCCTTAAGACTGTCTCGGTTGGAATATGCCGGGCTTCCACAGTCAGCTGAACCTGCAGTTGAGGCGAACTTCTTGTTCGCCTTCATTGACGAAGCAGGACGGCCAGAGAGACGAAGCGGGGATGGCAATTGGGTGTGTGAAATCGACGGAATTGAACGTGAGCTAGGTGCGTTAGACGATAACTACCGAGCAATTGCAAGGGTAGCTTGGCGGTCAGACCTGACTGTGCACCGTACCAGAATCATGAAGCTGCTTCCAGGAGAACGGCTGGGATGGTGGTCAGCACAGACGTTTGATCGCCGAGTTAGAATGATAGCTCTCGTTTTGGGGGCAGTGAACGACCGAAGGACCAAGATCCTGTTGGACACCGGAGCAAATGTCTCGACGATTAGTGAGTACTTTGCGAAGAAACTGCGTCTCAAGAGAGTGACCAGCCGAGATAAGCGGATCGACA